TCGTTGGGGGCAAAGGAGGCGTCGGGAAGACGACGTGCAGCTGCTCTCTGGCCATCCAATTGTCTTTGACCAGAGAGTCAGTCCTCATCATCAGCACAGACCCCGCGCACAACATTAGCGATGCCTTTGACCAGAAGTTCTCCAAAGTGCCCACTCCTGTAGGCCTACCACCGCATACCCGTCCACTCACACTCACTTGAACCCCTTTTAACGACACTTCCGTTTAGTTTAATTGTCTTAAGAGCTAATCGTCTGATCTATAGTTTATAGCTTTTTTAGGTACCATTTGTTTGAATGAAGTGTTTGTTGACAGGGATTCAAGTGATGTGTATATAGCTATGAAATGGTGTAACCCATGTGTCTGTGTGTGAGTACAGGTGCGGGGCTTCAAGAATCTGTACGCAATGGAAATCGACCCCAACTTAGGCACCGGTGAACTGCCCGATGAGTTCTTCTCGGAGTCGGATCCCATGCGAATGAGTCGGTCTATGATGCAGGAGCTGTTGGGCGCCTTTCCCGGCATCGATGAGGCGGTCAGCTATGCAGAGGTCATGAAACTCGTCCGATCGATGAACTTCGAGATTGTCGTCTTCGATACGGCGCCTACAGGTCTGCCGGAGCCTCATGTCATGTCATGTCATGTCATGTCTATTATCCTTACAATCATTTCTTATGAATACATTTTTCCCATAATTTGTTTTATATTTCATTTTTATCGCGTTTAATGAAAATATAAAACTTTTTATTTTCATTAAATTCTCACAAAATTAATTAATTCCTGAAATGATTGTCTCGATTATAGACATATTTTTATACAAATTTGATACAAACACTACTGTTTGCCAATTGAGTGAAAGTGTTGTGTAATCTATCGCCGCATTTGTGTTGATAATCAGGTCATACGCTTCGGTTGCTGTCATTCCCGGCAGTCGTTGAGAAAGGTTTGGGAAAATTGTTACGAATTAAGAACCAATTGGGACCCATGGTTACCAGCGTGGCCTCCATGTTGGGTATGCCTTACCTGCCTATCGATTACATAACTGTTAACTAATTTCTAAACCAAACAATTGAATTGAATTGATGTCAGGAATGAATGACTTGAACGCAGATGCGATGAACAATAAAATAGAGGAAATTTGTATGCCTTACCTGCCTATCGATTACATAACTGTTAACTAATTTCTAAACCAAACAATTGAATTGAATTGATGTCAGGAATGAATGACTTGAACGCAGATGCGATGAACAATAAAATAGAGGAAATTTTGCCGATTATTAAGACAGTGAACGAGCAGTTCCGAGACCCCAATCAGTGCACATTCGTGTGCGTCTGTATAGCGGAGTTCCTGTCCCTCTATGAGACCGAACGGCTGGTCCAGGAGCTCACCCGCGCCAACATCGACACCCATAACATTATTATCAATCAGCTCCTCATGCCTAAGAATGGCGACACCGGCTGCACGATGTGTAGGGCCAGGACTAAGTTGCAGAACAAGTATTTGGATCAAATCAATGACCTCTACGAAGACTTTCATTTAACCAAACTTCCACTTCTCGAGGAGGAGGTCAGAGGTGTCGACAAAGTCAAGTCTTTCAGCAAAAATCTGATCCAACCCTACAAACCATAACTAACAGCCAAATCTGTTGCGACTATTTTATGCTAAAGTAATTCAATTTTATTCAATTGTTTTCATGAAAAGTCCACATATTATACAGTAAAACCAAGTTTTGCTTTTTAATCTAAATATCAATTTG